GCCCACCAGTGCCCGGCGGCTCATTGGGTCCGAGTTCCTGCCTGATGGAGCACTCACTGCATAGCCTCTTATAGACACGCCCACCAGTGCCCGGCGGCTCATTGGGTCCGAGTTCCTGCCTGATGGAGCACCCACTGCATAGCCTCTTATAGACACGCCCACCAGTGCCCGGCGGCTCATTGGGTCCGAGTTCCTGCCTGATGGAGCACTCACTGCATAGCCTCTTATAGACACGCCCACCAGTGCCCGGCGGCTCATTGGGTCCGAGTTCCTGCCTGATGGAGCACTCACTGCATAGCCTCTTATATGTGTGTGTATGTCACTGTGTGTGTCGTTGTGTGTGCGTGTGTGTGTGTCATTTTGTGTGTGTGTGTCACTTTCTGTGTGTGTTTGTGTTTGTGTCTGTAAGACATGGTAATTACAGCATCTCATAAACAGTCTCACACTACAGTGTTTGCAGAGGATGGCGTGATGAGTAAAAATCAGGGCCAAGCCTTTCGGCATAAACACCTGGTTACTGACAGACTGCTCAGGGGTAGCCGCTGATACTATACTCTGTGTGTGGGGGGGGGCATGATGCTGGCCGTAGGGGGGGCACAGCACCCGTACTTTGGCCTTTGCTGTCTTTCCAGAATTTCCAGGTCACTGTCCCGGTCCCGTCCCTGTTCTCTGTTCTCATGTTGTATTGACCCTAACACTGCTGAGGGAGCCCATTTCCCATGCAGCCGGCTGGGGGAGGGCCCTCACCCCGGATTGGACCGGACGGCCAGTCACAAAGCATCGGCATCTCCTCTGTGTCCTGTGGCTGCAAACATGTTTCGTTACCCATATTCCATAAGCGAGCTGAATGTCAGCACCTGGCCAGGGATTGGCTGGAAGCGTTTCGTCATGCTGAATAAGAGTGGTTAAATCCGTGTGTGTATGTGTCAGTATGTGTGTGTCAGGTGTGTGTGTGTGTGTGTGTGTGTGTACATGTGTGTGTGTGTCAGGGTGTGTGCGTGTTTGCTCCCCTCCAGGGAGCCATATTCCAGGGCCCCTGTTTGAGCCCCGCACTACCAACGTCATCCTAGGCTTCTAAGAATAACCATCTACAGCTTATGTCATCATGATGGATGACCATGGCATACATGGAGCCAGTCACAGTGTGTCACAGCCTCACTCTCTCACAGTGTGTCACTGCCTCATCCTCTTGCAGTGTGTCACACCCTCACACTTTCCCAGTGTGTCACAGCCTCACTCTTTCCCAGTGTGTCACAGCCACACCCTCTTGCAGTGTGTCACAGCCTCACCCTCTCGCAGTGTGTCACAGTCTCACTCTTTCCCAGTGTGTCACAGCCTCACTCTCTCACAGTGTGTCACAGCCACACCCTCTTGCAGTGTGTCACAGCCTCACCCTCTCGCAGTGTGTCACAGTCTCACTCTTTCCCAGTGTGTCACAGCCTCACTCTCTCACAGTGTGTCACAGCCACACCCTCTTGCAGTGTGTCACAGCCTCACCCTCTCGCAGTGTGTCACAGTCTCACTCTTTCCCAGTGTGTC